GAAGATATGGAGGACCTTGATGATAATGATGCCGTTGCCAGCATCAGTGATGTCCAGACAGCTGGCATCCTGCTGGCACAGCAGCACATCAGGACCTCATTAATAGCATTAATAACAGGTTTGCTCACTGATATTCTATTTGCAGTGGGCAGTGATGGTGTTATTTGGAAAGTGTCATTCCTACAATATAATTGCATCGAAAATGGCCATTACATTTGTCAAATAAACCGTGACTGTTTGTTTGATTATTTTTTTTGAAAAATCCTGCTTATTAAAGGTCCCTTTGTCTGTGCCACCAATTAGTCCCCAGCTGCATCGCGAGGCTTTACGCCTTTATCCTTTTTTTTTTTGCATGGCTGTATTAACATTACTTAAGTGCTGCAATTAGAATTTCTATAATTAAAGATGAGCAATGCTTCTAATGACGACTACACAGTTGCAGTTTTGGCTGCACAACTTAAAAACAAAAGAAATGCACGTCTCTAAATCCCCACAATAGCAGACGTTGTTCTTGCAGATTTTTGCACACACGATGCTGAGTGACATTTTGGAGGAGGGGGGGAGAAAAAGTATGATATTTGTATTCGTGACAAAACACATGCAAAACTGCTTTTACACGTCAGACAAAACCCTCTAAGTTATGATGAAAACTAGGCCAATGTGTAGCTGTCAATTCTATCAAAGGCTGCGCGCTTAAATCCGGTGCGAGGGGGAAATATCCTTTCTTAACCTATCAAATCTCCTATTTTCATGTTAACTTTAGCATTAGTGTCTATGATGTAAACTGTAATAAAGATTTATGTCACCCGGCTTAAAACGTAGATGAATATAGTTACGTGACAGTGCTCAATTGGATTTAGCCTCCACCACCTTCTGGCTGGTCTGCCAGTAAGCCTCTATTGCCTTTCTGCTGTGTGTCAGAGGTCTGGAGAGACATGCCATATGAGAAAAGTCAGCTGTTTGGGGCTTGTAAAGCTACCAGTCAATAAAGCTGCAAACTGAGGACATGAGGACGTGGAAGCGTGGAACTGGGGGATTTTGGGGCAGAGAAAGGGGGGTGACTCAGAGAGGAACCATTCTCCTGTGTTACATCACTGCTACTTGACTATGGAGGATGATTGGTGCCACAGGGACATCAAACACGCACCGATCCGCCTGATTTCGTGTGGGGCCCCCATCGTGGCACCGAAACAGCTCTGAAGGTGCCCCGTGTTATCAGGCACCGAGATCCTTTAAGTCCTGCTGTTGCAAGGTGGGGCCTCTGCGGATCAGACTTGTTTTTCAAGCACAGATCGATTATAGATCTGCAGAATTCGGAGGCCAATTCAACACCTTGAACCCTTCATGTTCTTCAAACCATTCCTGAATTATTTTTGCAGTGCAGCAAAGTACATAATCCTGCTGAGGCCCGTGCCGTGAGGGAATACTGTCGGAGGAGGCGTGTACGTGCTCCACAGTAATGTTCGGGTAAGTGGTACACGTCAAAGTGAAAACCGCATGAATGCCAGGACTCAAGGTTTCCCCGCAGAGCACTGCCTCCATCGGCTGGACAACCTGCTGCCATCTCTTCCCCCAGATAAACAACAAGCACATATCTGGCCTTCCATATAATGTGATTGTCATCAGATCAATCGATCCACGGTCCGGTTGGGATGTTCATGCCTATTAAAGGTGTTTCAGCAGCGGACAGGGGTCGGCGTAATTATTCCGACTTGCCTGCGGCTACACAACTCCATACACAGCACGCCTTATTTACTATGTTATGGCACCTTCCTACCATAACCATCATTAAGATTTCCAGTAGGGATGATCGCATTGGGTTTTATTGTGCTTCCAATCCGATCAGTCATTTAATATTTTCTACCTGCCAATACCGGACACTATTTTCCCAGATAAGACACTCTTTAGGTATCGTATATTAGCTGTAACACCTGGTTGTGCTCTTATTCATTACGTGGTGACCTGAGGAGGCGGACGCTTTCATAGTGGCAAGCAGAGAGCATTGTGGGAGTTTAGCTAGAAAAGGAGCATCGCGATAAAGACTTCTGAGGCTTAGTGACCTCAGGCCAGCGAAGCAGCATTACATTAAGCCGGGATAAAGTAGAACTCCTAAATCCCAGTGGGACATCTGATGGATATTTTGACAGCTTTTATCATGCGTCTGTGAGGTATTAACAGGAATAAAAAAACAGAATCAGACATCATTTATGGTGTTGCACATCTGGTAAACATTCCCGTAGTTGGAACGGCCTCGATCTTAGAACTGGACTTGGGCTAGCCCCAGTTTTCAGGTATTTGTGCACCAACAGCTCTTCTGTGGAATTCCCACGCGGATCACTGACCCCTGGGTGCCCACGACCCTGTCACCACATCACTGGTTGACCTTCCTTGGACAGCTTTGTGCAGGTACTAACCGCTGCATACCGGGAGAACCACCCTGCTCTGGAGATGCCCTGACCCCGTCATCTCGCCATCAAAACATGGCCCTTGCCGACGTTGCTCAGACACTTGAGCATTTTCCCTGCTTTTAACACATCACCTTCGAGAACTGACTGTTCACTCGCTGCCTAGCATACCTCACCTGTTGACAGGCACTAATGCAATTAGATAATTACTGTTATTTACTTCACCTGTGAGCTGATCGTTGGACATGTACAAGTGTCACAGTGCTAACAAACGTGGATGACAAATGTTAAGATTATTGTTCATGTGGATAAAAAAAGATGACTGACTATATGAAGGGCATCCAAAGATATCTGTAGACAACTTTTCTACAATTTTACTGCTTCTAATAGTAACATATAAACTGTGAGCAGCAGTTGACGCATATATTACCGGAGAAGTGGCATAAAAATACAGAAATACTAAAGATACACATGTGGCTTACAAGCATATTGTGGCATTACAGAGTTTGACGCCTAAAAATAAACGTTTATAATCTTCCTCCTTCTTCTTCCTCACAATTGTTATACATATCTGTTCAAAATGGCGATCAGCAAATATATTACCATTGTATTTATGTCAGTGTTGAGGTAGCCCATAGTATACATCGTTACCATGTCAATAGTTTAGATGTGAGGAAACAGCTGCCAAACATATGATTAACATGTCCTAGATTTATCTTAGAATAAAAGTTCAAGGTCCAGGAACACTGGCCTGAGCTGACCGTTACTCAACATTGCATGAAGACATCAGTTGTCAAGGTGAATAAACTTACGCAAGTCATTTAGACTTAGTCGTTGGAGGGAAGGCATCTTTCCTGAAGGAGATTTTGTCAACCACTGTTGCATCAGATCACCTTTGGGCTTTATAAATAACCTTTTTTTCCCTTTTAAACTCTTAAAAAAATACATATAATCAATGCTAGCATGGTTTTAAAGTGTATTTTTCCCTGAATAATCTTCACACCTCAAACCTACACCAACATTGGCCCTGACTCCAAACAGTGGTGTCTAAAGGCCAATCAATTCTGGTTGTGTCCATGTCCACAAGGGGATGTAATACATGAATATCAATGGTCCAGGCGCCCAAAATGTGCAAATGCATGACAGTCAGAAACATCACAACAGCAAGTGTGCCGACTACACATGCACCAGGAAATCAAATGAGGAAAGACTCTGCGACAGGCATCTCCAACTCCGGTCCTCATGAGCTATGGGCTCATTAACAGACTTGTGTGGAACTTGACAACAAGCTGTTGGAGATCCATTCATGTGAGTCAGGTGTGTTGCAGTAACGTCTAAAACCTGCAGGACAGTAGCTCACGAAGACCAGAGCTGGAGATCTCTGCTCTAAGAGAAGATTCTAGCCATCCACATCTTAACAATTAATCACGAAAACAAAGAGCTGCAATCAAACTAGTCGCTGCTGGACTTCAGAGAGGCTTTCATTTGTTCATGCTTTCTGTCAACCGTGCCCAAACACCGTCCTAATTTCTCCAGATAGCCTGTGCCGTGTCCATCCACTGTGCTCCAGCCCACTCAGTCGCACCAGACTCTACCCCCTGGAAAGTGCAAAGTCACAGGCAGCCTTTTGAAAAACATCCACAGGTATATTTCCTGTGTGCAGTACGACGGGCATAAAGAGAACTACGTACACCGACGTAGCACGCATGAACCGGCCTCGACATTCGTCTAAATCAAGTGGGAGCCATTTTGTTGGAAACAGTATGGAAAGGGTTTTTTTTTTTAAAACAATGCTAGAGTCAATCAGGAAACCAGGATTTAACAGAACGTATTGCGAAGACGATCTACATGCTACCGATGACCAGCACAGATGTGGTCGTGAGGGCACCAACGCACATACAGCTGGATGCCACAGGACCAGCCTGCAGGACTAATCAACCCCAAAAACTGGTGGCTGGATAGCTGCATGGCACTAATCGCCCCTCATAGCTGCACATCCATCTGCGAGCCAACAGCGCTAACTATCGCCCTCATCCTCGGCGCTACCTACGCACATGACAGCGAGGAGACACACACATTAAACCTCCACATGCATTAAAACCGCAACTATAGCCAGCATTAGAATAAAAAATTTTAAATAATAGGGGAATAAAAAAAAAAAAACTTGGGGCTCCTCATGAAAGCAGGAGCCGGAGCAGGAGGCGCACAAAGTGGATAAAGTCCAGTCACAGAGTGCCTGCGGGAATGTTATCCTACATTTCCTTTACATTGATGATGAATTGTGTTGCGGCTAAACTAGGGAGGGAGGGGGGGTAGAGGATGGGGTGTGTGTGGGGGGGGTCACCCGGGACCGGCTCGGCTCGGCTCGGGGATAGTTTGCGCCATAGTCCAGCTGCCTAATCAATAACATGCACACAAATCACGGAGAGGGCTACACGTCTGGACGGGAAACTCGGCCCCGCTCGGAGGGAGAGAAATAAAAAAACAACCGTGTTTCCTGCGAACAAAAACAAGTCACACAGCGAACACAAAGACGACCGTTAGACGAGGGGGACCAGCCGAGCGGGGCTAAGCCGAGTGTTGCTTCGTACTCACCGGGCTGACAGTCTTTGTGTTCGGGCAAGGTTAAAAACATTAAAATCCACCAGCAACTCGGTTCCCGTATTCTCCGCATGTTAGACTACTCATCGAGAGCAACAAGAAGGCAACGGGTGACAAAGTTTCTGTCTCTTCTTCTTTCCTTTAGAGATACCAAGAAAAGAAAAAAAAAAAAAAATCACACAGTCGAGGCGAAGTTGCAGCCACGAAGCATCAAAGTCAATGGAGGAGCTACAGTCAGTGCTGCTGCTGCTGCTTCTCGCTTTTTTTCCTCCTTCTTCTTCTCCTTCTTCTCCTTTTTTTTTAAAAAGACAACCGTATTCGCCTCCGGTCCGAGCTCAGGCTGCTTCTAGCTTCGAGGAATAAAACGCTGCGCACGCTTCGGCGGCCGAACACTTCTTCGCTGCGATCTGTGGCTGGACTCCTCCGCGTCTGCAGCGGCTCTCCAGATAGCGACATTCCCGAAGTGTGCGGCTCGGTGGCGGCGGCGGCGGCAGCGGCGGCGGCGGCGGGGGGTCAACCGGCGATCAATCGCTGTCTTTAACTACAGAAGAAGGAGGCGAGAGAGGAGGAAAGAGGAAAAAAAAGAAGAAGTGGTCGAAATATATTGATCACACGTGGTCATTATTAAGTGATTATCCGCGGCGTCAGCGAGACGGAGGAGGGAGAAAAAAAGTGGAAACGTCCCATTCTTCCATCCAGGAAGTAGACTAGCGGTCAGGCGTGCAGCGGGGATATGTGGCTGGTCTGATCCCATCCTACCGGACAGGAGGGAGAGAGGGAGGGAGGAGGGAGGAGGAGGCGGGAGGAGGGAGGAGGAGGAGGGCTGCACCGGGGCGGGAGGGGAGGCGCTTCCTGGAGAATGCAAAACGGACCCAGAGGCTGGTTTCTGTCTAAAGGTGCTGCGATGAGGAAGACTCCACAAAGTCACCCCCCATTTTTCTGTTGTTTTTTTTTTTTTGCCCTCCTAAGATGTTGCATCAAGAGTGTAATCTAAGCTGCTCCAGAACCGGGCCCGTTCGGTTGCCTTCTCCCAGGTCCCATTATTAAAATGACCCTTCTGTGGCCACACACTGATGCCCCTTTTGCCTCCTGCTGGCAGCGCTGTGAATGGAATACTCGAGCAGCAATCATCACATGGAATATCATCGTGTGCAAGTGTGCAGCCTACTGATTGGAGAATTATGCATCCACTGGTGATACTCCCTTAGGTAAATGTGTAGTCAGTGGTGTTCTTGGAGAACTATCCAGCTGGACATTTAATTTGAGGAATCTGATTAAATTTCTCATTTAATTACCCAGTTCTCTACAGGGCCATTGAGGACAGTCACAAGGGCCCTTTGCTTTTAATGTGGGCCATCTGCTTCCTCTCCAAAATGCCTACCTTTTCAAAGCTCCCACCGCCTCGTGGGTATCCTCGCATGATCCTCCAGGCTGCACTGCCTCCGTGCACGCAGCGAAACATCGCCATGCTTGACAATGACTGTATTCTCACTGATCAAGTGCAATTACCCAGAACAGAAGTTTATGAATACTTTTTTTTTTTTTTTTCCGGGGGGCCCTTTTTTTTTTTTTTTTTTTTTTTTTTTTT